GAGCCCAGGGGGCCGGGAGATCTTGGGAAGACCATCCCATGGTGTTCCCAGCCCCACCACAAAGCTCTTGGAGGACCAATGCAGAGTGTCCCCAGACCCACCGTAGAGTTCTTGGAGGACCATCCCAACCCCACCATGGAGCTCTTGGAGGACCATCCCAACCCCACCGTGGAGCTCTTGGAGGACCATCCCAACCCCACCACAAAGATCTAGGAGGACCATCCCAACCCCACCACAAAGATCTAGGAGGACCATCCCAACCCCACCGTGGAGCTCTTGGAGGATCATCCCAGCCCCACCACAGAGCTCTTGGAGGACCATCCCAACCCCACCATGGAGCTCTTGGAGGACCATCCCAACGCCACCACAGAGCTCTAGGAGGACCATCCCAGCCCCACCACAAAGATCTAGGAGAACCATCCCAACCCCACCATAGAGATCTAGGAGGACCATCCCAACCCCACCACGGAGCTCTTGGAGGACCATCCCAGCCCCACCACAGAGATCTAGGAGGACCATCCCAACCCCACCACGGAGCTCTTGGAGGACCATCCCAACCCCACCACGGAGCTCTTGGAGGACCATCCCAACCCCACCACGGAGCTCTTGGAGGACCATCCCAACCCCACCACGGAGCTCTTGGAGGACCATCCCAGCCCCACCACAGAGATCTAGGAGGACCATCCCAACCCCACCACAGAGATCTAGGAGGACCATCCCAACCCCACCACGGAGCTCTTGGAGGACCATCCCAACCCCACCACGGAGCTCTTGGAGGACCATCCCAACCCCACCATGGAGCTCTTGGAGGACCATCCCAACCCCGTCTCTGGTTGCCCATGGGGCGTGGCCATGGGTGTGGCTGTGTTGGGGACATGGCCAGGGGGAGGGGACGTGTCCTCACCCGCCTGCTCGTTGGCCGCCAGGTTCTGCTCGAACTCGATGCGCAGCATCTCGTACTCCTTGCGCACCTGGGCCAGGGTGTCCTCCAGCTGGATCACCTCCGTCCGCAGCCGCTTCTGCACCCCCAGCTCATCGCTCTGCGCCCGGGGAGGGGACACCAAGGACATTGGGGATACGGGGACACTGAGACACCGGGAAGTTTGAAGGACACAGAGAAGGTGAAGGACATGGAGGAGGAGGAGAACATGGAGAACGTGGGGGCCACGGGAGGATGTTGGGGAGGTGGGGGACATGGGGAACACAAAGAACACAGAGGAGGTGAAGGACATGGGGGACACAGGAGATGTGGAGGACATGGGGGACAGGGAGGACACTGGGGGATGTTGGGGAAGTGGGGGACATCAGGGACACCATGGGGACATGAGGGACACAGGGGACGTGAAGGACACGGGGGGACATGGATGACATGGGGGACGTGGAGGAGGTGAAGGACAGGGAGGACGTGGGGGACACAGGAGAGGTAGGGGACGTGGGGGACATCGGGGCGTGAAGAACATGGAGAAGGTGAAGGACATGGAGGAGGTGGGGGCCATGGGAGGACGAGGGCCACCGGGGGATGTTGGGGGGGTGAGGGACATCAGGGACATGGGGGACACAGTGGGGACATGGGGGGACACAGGGGATGTGGAGGACATGAAGGACATGGGGTAGGTGAAGAACATGGTGGAAATGGGGGATGTGGGGGACGTGGCGTCCCGTGCCCCCCAGGCCCAATGTGACACCCCAAGAACCCCTGGGGACACCAAGGCCACCTTCATGTCCTCAACATGACAGAGCCAACCATCTGGGTCGGTCAACACTTGGACGTCATGATATCCTATCACCCCCAGGCCCCAAGGGACACCCCGAGGACCCTTGGTGACACCAAGACCACCTCCACGTTCTCAACATGACTGAGGTGGCCATCCTGGATGGCCAACACTTGGACGCTATGAACCCCAGGCTCCATGTGACACCCTGGGGAGCCCCCCAGGCCCCTTGGGGACACACCAAGGCCACCCAGTGGGCCGTGTCCCCTCACCTCCATGTGCTCGATGTGACGCAGGTGGCTGTTCTTCGTGGCCAGGAGGAGGGCGCGGGCCTCGTCCAGTTGGGTCTTCACCTGGAGGCTCTCGTGGTAGAGGAGGGAGAACTGGGACTGCAGCACCTTGTACTCCAGGGTCTCCTTCACCGCTTCCTCCGGCAGCGAGCGCAGGGCCACCTGTGGGGACCGTCCCCAACGTCCCCAACGGCCCCACCAACCCCCAAAAACGTCCCCGACATCCCCAC